CCCCGTGACCTGGATGTCTTGCCAATATGCTCCCTCACTCACAGTTCTTTTTTAAATCGGAGAACAGTAAACAACCGGGTTCACATGAGCCAGGCATCATGTGACACACAGTCAACTTCATGTCACACCACACAAAATGCAGGGGGAACACGTCTCCGTTTTACAGCAGTGTTCGCATATCTGATAAGTAGGTCTACGTGTGGGAGATTTGTGGTTCAAGAGAACTTGTGGTTGCAAACCAAACCATTCATTTGAACAGAAATATTCCCATTATGTGCATTTAACATATTTTATGCATCTTATCTACGGTCTACCTGTATAAGCCTCCCTTGTGCGGGCTTCAAAAAGACCCTAGACTGCTGCTGGGTGCCACAATCTTGGATATGATGTCAGCAGCCCCAACAGACTCAGAGCTTGCACTCAAGGGCCCGTTCACACAAATCATAAGGAAATCAAAGGGTCCGATTACTTGCAATTGTACCTTCTGATCTCCTTTCGATCTATTTGGTTTTGAACCATTTTTCAATGCATGCTAACTGAAGGGCACCAAAAAATGAATGGGTGTGAATAGGGCTAGTTTACAGTTCACACTGGATCCGTTGCGTTAAGCTGCGCTGAAAAAAAAAAAGTAGCGAATGTTCTACTTTTCTATTCCCAATGCAATGCAGCGTAAAAAAAAGCCCTTCACACCCCTTAATATTTCAGTGCCCATCCATTAGCATCTGTTCACAAACATATTGCAGCGCAAGGGATCTGGTGTGAATGGGCCCCAACACTGTATAGTATTGCCCTTTGCTCCTCACCCAGCAGCTACCTCAAAAGGTTATAAAGAGAGGGGAGGAGCTGGGCCAGCAAAGACACTCCCAGAAGAGGAGAGGGCTATGAGGTGCAAGGAGGGAGGGGGCTGTGCTAGGGAATTGACTCATCAAATTCTCTGTACGTCAGTTCAATGTCGCATTGTTGCTGGCTTCTAACATTTTAGGCCTGGTGCCCAGCTTTGTATTTCAATCTTTTTATTGTCATTTTTGCAGAAAAAGGTACATCCAATCGGAATTGTTACGCCAGTGTACATGAAGCTGTAGCAATAATCATTAAACTTTCCATGTTTTCATCATATTGTTGTGAAGATTATTTCCCATACAGTCATGTTTACAAACATTTGTACATTCGCTGAAATAAGGTCACAGTGTAAATGTTGTGAGTTTGAGTTTAGATTGTATGAAGGATCTGATCTGCGAATCCCTAAATATTTCTGTCTGCGGTAGGGGATATTTGCATTGAAAATAATCCAAGCCACGAGTCCCAGCACCAGGGATAGAATCACCTATTCGAAGCAGTCCATTATTTGTCCATAACTGAAACAGACGTGGTCTACAGCTAGGTTGGAACTCTGGATTTCCCAAGATTGGTGCTGGAAGGGAATGATGAAGGGTTTAGGGCACATCTGCTGTTCTGTCTGTCCCACACTGAAAGTAGGACACAAGATGGGTGGACTTAGTCCGCATGGGACCCACAGGAAAGTAGGACACAAGATGGGTGGACTTAGTCCGCATGGGACCCACAGGAAAGTAGGACACAAGATGGGTGGACTTAGTCCGCATGGGACCCACAGGAAAGTAGGACACAAGATGGGTGGACTTAGTCCGCATGGGACCCACAGGAAAGTAGGACACAAGATGGGTGGACTTAGTCCGCATGGGACCCACAGGAAAGTAGGACACAAGATGGGTGG